TTTCTTTGTTTCTGCAATCTGCTGGGTTTCAAGGTTGTTTTTCTTCTAAATTTCATTCAGCTTCTTCAATTTGTGCATTTCGGTGATTTAGGGCTTTCTCCCCCTTTTTTGTTAGGGTTTTCTGAACTTGATTATACTGTTCTTGTTGTTTTCCTTAATTTTCTTAGCGTCCAAACGAATCCCTAATTTTTAATCCTTTTTTGAGATTTTTGGGTATTGTAAAAGTCATAGACTCAGTTAGTCGGCTCATCGCGTTCTTGCATAAAAAGTCTTCAGCTTGATACGATTACAGATACAGGCTTCAACCTTCCTGGGATTAGAATGTTGAGTTTAAATGCATCTTAATTTTTTAAGTTTGTTGGTTTAAGCAACTTTTTGCTTATTTTCAGAAGATACAGTTTTAGTATTGAGGAGGACGCTCATAATTTGAGTGAAATATTCTTGATTTTCCTTTTATGTTTGTTTGAGGCCTTTACTTTGGTGGGTGAGGGGAGGTGGGTGTGTTAAATTTTATTGTTCAATATGGAATGTTTCAATGCTAATTCGGGGTTGCGTGAACTAATGGCTTTCAATTTTGTCAGGTCTTAGATTTGAGTTGAATTATGGGAAAAAGGAAGTCAAGAGCAAAGCCACCGCCCAAGAAGAGAATGGATAAGCTTGATACTGTTTTTACCTGTCCCTTCTGCAATCATGGAAGCAGTGTTGAATGTCGTCTGTAAGTGTTCAAGCAGTTTTACTTTTGTTCATGATTTCTTTAGATTGATACATTTTTAACTGCATGTGCACATGTGGTAATAAACTAATATTATGATTGGAAACTTGTCAATCTTTGTTTTGATAATCCTGTAACCCTTTTTTGGTGTTGGCTTTTGCTCTTGTTTATTCTCATGCATCAATGTGATTGGATAGGTTTGCCCATGTTGATAATGTAAGAATGTAAGTTATTCTATTGTTTATGCTGATGAGAATAATGTGATACCATTATTTTTCTTGAATGTGTATATTAAATTGCATATCTCAAAGTTACAACTATGTGTAATATTCATGAATCCATTTGAACTTAAAAATTTACTTGGTTGTAGTGACATGAAGGACTTGATTGGTGAGGCTATATGTAGCATATGTCAGGAGAGCTTCAGCACAACCATCACAGGTATGTTGATTGGCTGCTTTGGACTGATGGGAAATAAGTTTATTTATTGCAAATCCTTGTTTCCCTCTTTGTGAAATTTGAGTGAAATCAGAAACATCTGGAAATGTAACTTTTTAATGTTTGTAACATCATAATGATGTACTCAAGATAATTTGGTGAACCCTTGCACATCATAACCTAGGAAAATGGTCAGCAATTAGGGCAGTGTCATTTAAAGAAAGCAAGATCGTTGGGAGTGTTTATGCTTGGCATTGAAATTATGTATCTTTTTAAAAAAATGTCATAAGTTTTAAACCAATACGTTACAAGGTTTCAACTTTTCTGCTTTTGTAGAAGTGGCAAACATGCCTTAGCCTTAATAAATATAAATAATAAGTTTCTAAAAAACTAAAAGTAAATTAGATGGAAGGTGAGCTGTCTTTTTTCCCTGAGCCAAAGCTGTAAAGTTAGAGAAGGATTGTTCTTGATTAATTGATGATACCTCAGGAGGTGAGTGGTGAATATCAAGTTCTCTTTCTCCAACCCCCACCTGCTGGCATATATAATGGTGCACTTTGCCCTTTGCATGTGGATGAATTTTCCTGTATGAATGTTTACTTTTCAAATGTGCTGTTAGGAGACTCTATGGACTCAAATTTTAGATTATGGCCTAAATTGATGCTGGAGAATTGAGACTTGTTCCATGATAAATGGCTTTATTTTGTTAGTTTGTTAGTTTAAGTTTGTTTTTTTTATTTCCACTGCTTATATCCTGAGCTAATCCCTTCTTCTTTCTATTTTGCAGCCTTAACTGAACCAATAGACATGTAAGTTTAAATCCATACCATGTGTTTAAAATCAAGCTTTGCTCTTTCATCATCTCTGGCTAATCTGAGTCTGCCTTCTTCACTGCAGATATAGCGAATGGATTGATGAATGTGAACGGGTCAACAACCTCGAAGATGATGGTGCTTAGGAATAGGAAAAAACCGGGGGTTATTATTGTTATATGAAAATCCCATTTACCTGGATCAAGACAATCTTGTTTATGGGAAGGCTGTGGTACATTTACCTAACATTTCATTGCATGTATACTGTATATTACTGTTGCGGATTGAACTTCATAAAATAGACTGCAACATTCGGTGATTCAAAAGTCAACCCCCTCCACCCCACGTTTTCTTTTGTTTGGGATTTTTTTTATTTTTTTATTTATTTTTAATATGCATATCCAATTGAATCCCTGAGGCATGGCTTGCAACACTCTTAATATCTTAATATCTTTTTTATGTTTTGCATTTCCTATAAATTTCAGGTAAACTATTTCTAGAAGTTGAAAATTTTATGCAAAAAGCATGGTTTTATCTTCTGCTTTCTGCATAAAAGAACTTACCTTGAACTTCATTAAAATAATTTCTTTCTTATTATGTGCCTTTATATTTTTAATCATTACTAGAGATATGTCTTGCAATTCAAATGAAAAAATACAGCAATTACCAGTGGGTCTTCAATGACTCATTTTTTATTTTATAGTTTGGTTAAGTCTTAATGCAAAATGGCGAAATTATAAAGAAAGAAGCCAACATTGAATGATTAATATGTTGCTAACAGGTCAAATAGCTTACGTGTGATTTTGTGCAAATCATTGATCCGATGGTATGAGAAGGTAGATACACTTGTTAAGTACTTAAGTATAGAGCATCAATAAAGAAATTTTTTTGTGCATTTTAATTCAATTCATATTTTTTGTGCTTCTTGTTTCTTCCATAATTCGATGGCTATTTTGTGTATTAGAGTAACTTTTGTAAGATTTAATTAATTTTTTATCTATAAAATTTTCTATTTAAACAAAAAATGTTCAAAGAAGAAATATATAAAAAAGAGAAAAATATAAATTAAAATATCTTGTTTTTAAATTATCAAAATATTTTATTTTTAAATACCTGACTTTTCAGATCAACTGATAACCTGTCAGCTTGAGATGCATTCTCCCTCCTCTATGACAGGTTTTGAGCTCGCCTTGACAACTTGTTCAAAAAAAAAATTATTGTTTTTAAACTATTAAATTCGATAGAGGCAAGAGAATTACTTCTCAATACTTTAATTCCTTCCCAAAAAAAAAAAAAAATTTGTAACATTTCAAAAATAATAAAAATAATACTAATAACAAAGGAAATCTATAGCGTACGGCACAGGACTGGCCGAAAGGGTTGCACCCAAAATTCATAGACTCTCTCTCGCCCAATCCCTGTCAAAACTTCCCTACGATTTTGATCAAACACGGCGGTTCACTTGCCGGACCCAAGACGGAGAGGAAGTGCTAATCTCGATCATTATTGGGTTTCTTCAAGCTCATCTCTTTTCTCTGTTTTTGAGAGAGTTTCATAGAAGGAATTCATGGGTAGGCCTCCCAGCAATGGTGGCCCTGCCTTTCGCTTCACCGCGGTTGAGGTATCTTTCTTTTCCTTTTTAGCGTTAGATGTTGATAGCTAATTTCTGCAACTGGGTGGGAGGAGGATGCTAGAATTTGAATTCATGGATCAAATGCTAAATGCCTCAGTTAATTTGCAGGTTTCATCTGCTTTGTTTCTGTCTATTTTTTTAAAATTATTTTTTGGGTATCTTTCAAAATTGTAATGCTTTTGCATCTTAATTAATTCTCTTATTGATATGTTCTTGAATTGCCTCTACATTAAGGTTGCGGAGATGGAAGCTATTCTGTTGCAGAACCATAATACGATGCCTACTAGAGAGATCCTAACAAGTCTTGCAGAAAAGTTCAGGTGTCCCTTACTTGCCTTTTAATAGCTTTACATGGTATGACAATATTAGTTGTCTTTCACCTTGAAAACAAATTGAAATATTGAGGCATTTACCTTTGGCTGTAGCGAGTCACCAGACCGAAAAGGGAAGATTGTTGTGCAATTTAAGCAAGTAAGATACTTGAATTGAACCTCGGTTAATTGGGTTAAGAAAGAGCCCTTTAGAGTTCTTTTACAGTGTAGAAATTTTTTTACAGATATGGAATTGGTTCCAAAATAGGCGGTATGCAATTAGAGCAAAATCAAGCAAGGCTCCTGGAAAGTTAAATGTTTCTTCAATTCCTCGGGATGACTCGACTCCTGTGAGGAATGTGCTTCAGCCTGTAGCTGCTCATATACCTGCTTCTATGACTGCTCTAATGCCTACTGCCATGCCTCCTGCTTCAGGTTGAATGTATTCCAACCCTGTGTTTAAGGTTTTTGGGCCTCCTTCCCCTTTCCTAGATGTTGGGCTTTATTTAGTGCTTAATAGCTATTGAGTTTAGTGAGACTGTGAACTCATCAAAGAAATAATGACGTAAAAAATTGAGTTGAGTTTAAAATGGGACTGTTGCACCTTGTATCCATGTAGGCAAGTAAAACTTTGGTCTAATCTTTGTATCTGAACCAAACTCTCTTAATTTTTCATTTTTTTCAAGTACACTTTTGTGCACAACTATTATTCTAGAGAAGCCTATCTTGTGAAGAGTACAATATAATGTCATTTTCTTTTGGTAATTATATGATTATGTCATAAATTTCTTCCAGACAAACTGACAAAGCTCTTGGTCAAACTTTCAAGATCAACTGCATAACCTCTTTGATATCTGCATCATGGCATCATCTTATTTGGGCTTAATTTGGCCTTCATTTTCTATGGATTGCAACTGCAGGAAGGGCTTCTTCAGAAACCTCTTTTATGGAGTTTGAAGCTAAGTCTGCCAGGGATGGTGCATGGTAAGTACTTCTCATCCTTTGCTAAGTCTAGGGGGCAGATGTTATGCTGCCAATAATTTTATCTGGTGATTTTGTTATAATTGAATCATTGGCAATCTGTTTCACTCTCATCTTTTGTTCCCAGGTATGATGTTGCAACATTTCTTGCCCATAGATATTTGGATACTGGTGATCCGGTAATCTCTTTAGCAGTTCAAAGATTCTATTGTCCTTTTTTGTTATTGAGCTGAAATTGGTTAAATTCTTAGTTTGTTTTGTGCACAAAGCAGCAACCTAAATCAAAATGCACATAGATTCACATGTGCAGAAAATTTCTAATGGTTTTAGTTTGCGTAGCTGTCTCATTCTTGTCTCGTCTTTTTCCATTGGTGTAATATAGTCTTTGCTTCATACTCATATATTAGGTGCTTTTAACTTATTAGACTTCTGTTCGCTGTCTTTTGCAGGAAGTACAGGTTCGGATTGCTGGTTTTGGACCAGAGGAGGATGAGTGGGTTAATGTTCGGAAGCATGTCAGACCACGATCTCTTCCATGTGAAGCATCAGAATGTGTTGCAGTTCTTCCTGGAGATTTAATTCTTTGTTTTCAGGTTGGATATCTGCTAAAAGGCCAATTAAGATGGCATTTAGTCAACCATTGAAAGAATAATTTGTACCATATCCTTCTGTAGAACTCCCATGTTCAATGCTCTTAAAACTTTCAGGAAGGTAAAGATCAGGCTCTTTATTTTGATGCCCATGTCCTTGATGCTCAAAGACGGAGACATGACATAAGAGGGTGTCGCTGTAGGTTTTTGGTGCGCTATGATCATGATCAGTCTGAGGTAGAAGTTGATTTCTCATTTTGCCTTGTATATTTTGCTTCAAAATATCTTTTGTTTACATTTCTCTTCTCATTAGTAGCCTAAGAGTGGCAAATGGGCAAGTACTATGCCGAGCCTATCTGGGAATGGGAAACGATACGTTGTTACCATACACAAGTCTGATTAAATCCACTTAACAATATTTGCTTGATGTCTTTCATATATGTTGGTTAAATATTTAGTTTTTGCTTAGTAGAGAGAATAACTCCTCAAACCTGACGCCTATGCATTTCCACTGAAAGCTTAAAAAGACCTAGAATGCAAAATACCACCCTTTTCCTTGAGTGACTGTCACTGAGGGATCATATTACTAATCTGCTATAGTTCTGCCTTGTTTGAATGCATTTTGTTGGCCTTTATGATCCATGGCTGATTTTTCTTCCATTATTTAGGAAATTGTGCCTCTAAGGAAGGTTTGCCGCCGGCCTGAAACTGATTACAGGTTGCAACAACTGCATGCTGCAAACGACTCAACAGCCACTGATCAGCAGAAAACCATTGTAGATCCCACTATGGCACCAAAGACTTTTAGTTCCACAGTTGAAACAATGCAGAAGCAGCAAAACATAGACCTAGGCAGGACAGTAATTGTGTCCCATTCTAATGCTCCTCTATCTGCACAAGCAATAAACCAAGACTCTAAAAATACAGGAGCTGTTGGTGCTATTAACATGACCAGTCCTGCCGTTCCTGTGAATGATGCTTCATTCACCGACAGCAGTGTTATGACTCTCACAAGCACGGCTTCTGTTGGCTCTAGTCAAAACATTCAGGAAGGAAAGTAGCAAGCTTATGGGGCACTAACCTTCATCATTTCTCTTGAGGTGTAAGACGCTGTCTAATATTTTGGATTTTTGTTCATTATTTTGTTGGGCTTCCAACATATATTCTGAGTAATTTTATGTTGCCAACCAACAAATTTAAGTGGCCTCATCTTCTTTTAATGGAAATAAAAGATTTTGACAGAGAAAATTGCCTCTCATTCTGCTTTGAAGATTAGAAAAGAAAATCCAAAAAATTAAAATAATAAAATTAAATAAAGTGGATTTTCAAGTAGAATGTGATGTGGTGTATATCGAACTTGCAGAAGCAGAAATAACCAATGATTTAGGATGTACTAAGAGAGTTCGTGTTTTGTAGTTAAAATTGTATCACAATAAAAGGTTTTTTTCTCGACGAACGAGGGATTTGATCAAGTGATAAGCGGCTTGTTTTAGTTTAAGTAAGTTTTTGAGTTTGAGATTTTGTGTACGTAGCAGCTTTTGTTGGGAAACTCATTAACTATTTTCAAATGCACTCGATATGAGTCGATCCAGATTAATAGGAGCGAAGTCTCGAATACTGAACGGAAAATCAAAAAAAAAAAAAAGTTTTCTTTTAATAGCATGGGACTTATTAATCTAATTGTTAGTATTTTAAAATTTTAAATGGTGTATTGGATTTCACAAGAAAAAATTCTCTTATTATTTTTTTTATCTGTTTTTTAATCTATAAAGGTTTAAATTTAAAATTTTATTTAAAGAAAATTAGTTATTTATTTTAATCTCATTATATCTTTATTAATTCAAAATCAAATTACGTTTATTGAAATTCATAAAAAAAGCTACCCAACATTTATTTTTTATTTAAATATTTCTTATTTAAAAAAAATCAAATTTTATTTATTTTTTTTATTAACCTTTTAATATTCGATAACTATATTGAATTTAACTAATCCAAAATCAAACTGCATCATATTTCATTAGATAAATTTTCTTGGTATTTATTTTTTTATTTATAAAACTCTATTGAAATCATAGTTTTCTCCATTCACAAGAATTTTTACAAGATTCAATCAAGATCTTATTTAAAAAATTAAATTTTTTCTACTCGAATTAATATATTATTAGTCGAATTCTTTCCCTTTCTTCTTTATCAAGTACTTGATACTAATTTCCTCGTTAACCACATGATAACACAACTCAACGAATTTCTCTGCGGCCAGAACCGCCTCCACGTCCTTAACTCACTCCATAAAAACAAGCCTCCCGTTTCTCACTTCCCGCGAGTGGCATCCGAAGGAAAAAAAATCTGAACCAAAATGCGACTCCTCTGCTCTCACGCCGAGAAAAAAACCTCTCACCTTTCCCTCTTCTTCAAGGTTGCTTCTGTTCGGTGCTTCGTTACCACTTGCAGGGCGGTGCTGCTGCCGCGTTTCGGCGGCCCAGACCTGCTGGACCTCCGCCCTGATGTTTCTGTCCCCGTACTCAATCCCAATGAGGTCCTCGTTCGTGCCCGTGCTGTCTCCATCAATCCCCTCGATACGAGAGTGAGTCCATTCGTAGTTTTGTTTTTACAAATGTTTCTTGATTGGTATGATTTTTCATTCTTCTATGTTCTTTAAACTATTTACGTTGAATTTGAGCTGTGGAGATTAGAATTTTGTGCTGGATTCTCGTAATGATACTGTTTGATTACTTAACATCTGATTTGGTTGTTTTGGGATTTATTTTGATAATTTGATTGTTTAGCTTCTGACTCTGATAGACATGGAATTGAGATGAACTTTCAATTCAAAGCTTTCAAAGCCTCTTTTGATTTTGGAATGAAGAGAATCATCACCATGTTAAGATATATAACTTGTGTTCTAGAAAGGATCATTAACTAACGGATAAAACTGCCTTGGTGATTCTCCTGTCGATACAAATTTCAGTTTCAATAATGCAATTTGATTTTCTTTTGTTAACCATAAGTCTTGTGCTGTATATGCTTGAAGTTTATGTTTTTTTTTTTATAGGCAAAGAAAGTTTGTGCTTAGCTATTGCAGTGATGCTTCAAAATGTGTTTATTATTGAGCATGGTTTGAAGTTCCTGTATTTCAATGTTCTCAGATGCGATCAGGCTATGGTCGTTCCATATTTGAACCACTTCTGCCTCTCATTTTGGGTCGAGACATTAGTGGTGAGGTTGCTGCTATTGGAACTTCAGTGAGGTCACTGACTGTTGGGCAGGAAGTTTTTGGTGCTCTGCATCCAACAGCTGTGAGGGGTACATATACTGACTATGCAATTCTTTCAGAAGACGAACTTTCTCCAAAACCAGCATCAATCACCCATGTGGTAACTAGTTACATCTTTTAAGTTATTTTGAGCCAAAGAATAAAGTATCTTCTTTGCAGTCTCATTCATACATACTTTTGGTTGCCAGTTACTCTGCTTTATGGTGATCTGGTCATTCTTTTGACCACATTATTCTAAGATTTAGAGTATTGTCTTCCCTCTATTTCTTGCACTTCTTCTGGAATATTAATCTGAGAACCTTTTTCTTTTGTGTGCTGTAGGAAGCAAGTGCAATACCTTTTGCTGCATTGACTGCATGGAGGGCTCTAAAAAGCACTGCTAGGATAACTGAAGGGTATGCGGCATTAATTTATTTGCTTGATTCTGTATTCTGGCTTTTCATTCCCAGTTAGCGTTGATCTTGTTGGCATCACTAGTTAATAGAAACATAAGGCACCAAACACATACATGGTGGAATTGTATGCTATGGAATGAACGCATGCACAGTATGCTATAGAAACATAGAGCACCAGAAACATAGCCAATGGAAAGTTTGAAACACAGGACAGCAGCCTGATTTGAGTTCGGATTTAAATACGCCCTTATTCATGACCAAACTTGATATTTAATAGATAGTAAGGTTGTTAATCTAATTAGTTCTTTCGATGCTGTGAAGAGAAGACAAATCAAAATTTTATGTGCAGAGAATCTAAATTTGAAAATTGGCATGCATGATTTATATTAATAGAACTTTCAATCCAACAGTCAGTTTTTGGAAATATTAATTAGAAGGTGGGCTTTTAGTCAAGTCATCCCAAAAAAGTTTTGGGAAGACAACCTGCCCTACACTATCCCCATATATATGTATATATATATGATATCCTGACTGGAAGTTGACCATTTATTTTTGGACTGTTATCTTTTATTCCTTCTTACATTTTCATAAATCTCATTTGACAGGCAGAGGTTGTTGGTGGTAGGTGGTGGAGGAGCAGTAGGTTTTGCTGCAATTCAGCTTGCAGTAGCTGCTGGGTGCCATGTTACAACTACGTGTGGAAGTCGAAGTATAGAAAGAATACTGGCAGCAGGTGCTGAGCAGGCCATTGACTACACTGCTGAGGTGATGATGTGATCATTTATTAAGTAATAGTTTGCTTCAACCTCTGTTGCTAGCTGTTCGAAATATAATTTGAATTTATTGGTAGTAAGAAGGATTCAAGAGTGATCCTTTAATCAATGAGCTAACTGTCAACTTACAGGATGTTGAATTGGCAATTAAGGGAAAGTTTGATGCTGTTCTGGATACAATTGGTGTACAAGAGACAGAAAGAATAGGCATCAATTTTTTGAAGCAAGGTGGACACTATATGACACTTCAGGTAAGAGGTGGAAGATTTTTACTGTTGTTCTCAAGGGAAAAAGAATTTTTTCCTACTTTTAAATGTTGAATTCTTGGGCTATGTAACTGTCTGTCAGCCAGGGGGTGGGAAGGCTATCCAGGTCCCTATTGCATTACCGACAATCTAACATGTCAAAAGAAGTTAACCTCCAATCCCTTAAATTTTGCCTAAGAATATGAGATTTTGATCCCATGCCTACAGATCCTCTGATTTTACCAGCTTACCTGCTAGAACCTTTGGAAGGAACTTACATATTTATTTTCTGAATGCTATGGTGTGAATATTGAAGGTTGTATTATCTTCTGTTTTAGGGTGAGACAGCATCATATAGTGACAGGTATGGAATGGCAATCGGACTTCCTGCTGCTACAGCTGTTTTACTAAAGAAACAGATTCAATATCGATCTTCACATGGAATAGGTATAGAGGTTATGTTCAGATCATATGCACAATGGTTATTGAAAGTGCTCAGTTTTACTTTTGCTTATCAGGTGAAAGTCTTAAAAAGATCTAAGAAGGCAGGGAATGGCATTCCTGAAGATTTTCAGGCTGTTAAACTTCTTGTTTATGGCTATGTAGACCGTAGTTGATGTATCATATCTGCATAACCTTATTGGGGAAGTTAGAAAGAAAATTAACCTATAACCTGTTGAAAGATTGGTTAGGCATGGGATAATTTACTCAATTAATAGAAGTGAATTACAAATATGATTTCTATGATTTATAGGTTATTTCAACTTTCTGATTTCTATGCTTGGTTATAGGAGAATGAATTGATTTTTCTATTATAAACTTTGTGAAAGGCTATTACTCTTCTGTTAAATCCTTCTTTCCTTCCATGGTTAAATTGCTGAACTCTTAAGTATTTGTTTTTCATTTTAAACCAAGAAGGTTTGAGGTTTTCCCTTATATAATCCTCACCTTCATATGCTATAGATATAGCTATAAATCACCCATCTCAATGTGTATGACCTCTAATTGCTAGATCATGGCCTTTAACTTTTGGTGATGCAGAATATTCATGGACGTATATGAGGGCCGACTCAGAAGGTTTAGAAGAGATACGCAGATTATCAGAAGCTGGGAAACTGAAGATACCTGTAGAAAAAACATTTCCCATCACACAAGTAAGAGAGGCACATGACGCAAAAGACAAGAAGAAAATCCTTGGTAAAGTAGTCTTGGAACTTGACTGAAATAAAATTCATAGAGCTGAAACATACTTTTTATTTTGTATGTTTCTTCATTTTCTCTTCCTTTTTTGGGATAATCTTGTACATTCAGGTTTTACGCGTAGACTTCCTGATATCATGTTGGCAATCTGTATGTTTGAGGCTTTGAGCATGTTATTTTCCTCTGCATTTTTTGTTAAATTTTGACTCTTGGAATGACTGCAGAATTTGAATTTAAGTTTGCTTCCAATTCCATTGCAAATTCAAATATCAAAATTGTTTGACCATTCATGAACAAAACTTATGTATTTACATTAATCATATATAGAAAGCAGTTTCTTTGTGCATTGGAGTCTGCAGCCTCTTTATCATGCAAAGCAAGAGCACGCTTCCCTACTCGTTCATGTGAATTTTATTTAATTTATAGGTACTCTCATTCATTGACAACCTCATCATGCAGTGTTATTGACTCATTCATATATCATTTTACCCATCACAATTAATGTGCAATTGCTGGCATATATATTTATTGTCTATTTGATTAATTAGAAGTCCAATGCCAATTCCTTTGTGTAACAAAAAAGGGGGAAATTTTTGTTAAAAAAATGATTGTATCTATTGATATTATTATAATCTAATGTATGATAAGACGTTGGAGAAAATTAAATTCATTGTAATTAAAATTTTGTTCAGGTTGATTTTACTGAAAAATTAAAAGGGTTAGAAACAAGAGATCCAAGAATAAGTAACAGGATAAAGAGGAATGTAATGGTTGTAATATGTGTTTGGTCGAAGATATTTATTAGATTAGAATGAATTAAGTTATATGACAGATGTTAATTGGAGTATGGTATTAATAATGATCTATCTTGTAAACAAAATGGTACAAGTTAGAATATGTCAAAATCATTCTTAATCCTGCTTAATCTCATTGTTTAAGCATAAACCCTTCTTTTGATACTTCTTACTTTTGTCTTGATATCCTATAAATGTCTGGTCAAACCATATGACCCACTTATTATTTGTTTCATCATTTCTCACTGTGAAGTTTGCAGTTTCTTTCAGTAAATTACTCCTATAACTCTTATATTCCTATGACCCTATATTGAACAAATCATATTTTTAGATTTAATGATTGACCATCAAATTTTAGTGTTTAGATTTCTTTGATTAGGAGTTTTACTCTTATTAATGACTTGAAAAAATGCTTCATTTTTCAAAATTTTCCATGTTAAAAAAAAAAACAAAAAAACAAAAAAAACTCTATATTAGACGGCGGGCAATTTGGTGTGATTTACCTCAGCTTTACTTTTCTTTCTCCAACCCAATATATTTCTGACACTATGAATTAGGATATAAGTTGTCTAACTTTGGCAAGTGGGTTTTTTTTTTTTTTTTTGACAAGAACAATGGTTAGTAAGTTAGTATTGTTAGATATTAGCAACTGAGAATTCAATTTTTAAATTAAGTGAACAACACACCGATCTTAATGAGACGCGTGACCATTAAACCGTTTTGATGGAGTTCGGCAAGTGGGTATTGGAGAATCCTGTGAAGGGAAAGGTGGGAGTTAATGCAGGGTAATAATATAGGGGTGTCATAGTTTAATGTGAATACCACACTATGCTCTAAAGTACACTAAGCACACAGGTCTCTGCAGACTCTGCCTACGAGGCCTTTGGTTCTTTGAACAGCATACAGTTTTTCGCCACCCGCAAGCCTCTCTTATTTTCATGCGCGTGATTTTTTTTTCATGATTACTATCTAATTTTGGTTAACTTAACATTTTTGTTGGTGATTATAACTTTGTCCATGGTAAT